TGATTCAATTCCTGAGAGTCCAAATAGTAGGTTTTGACTAAAGCACATCCCAGTCTACAGTTATTCTAGCATCCTTTAGGATACAGAACCTATTTATTCAACTAATTGATAATTTATGATATAACAAGTAATTTGGCATCTAATAAAGCTAGGAAATCCCTCAAGAAAGACTTTTAAAATTTACTGCAAGCCCTATGAAAGTAAGTGTGTCACCTAAGCCATAAAACTTCCTATAAATACTCAACAAACCATATGATCAACTCTATATAGACTTCATAACGTAACCTCGCACCAAATTGACACGATTTGACATTTTCAGACACTGTCAGTCAGTCAATCATCTAATCATCAAACTAAGCAACTCAAAACGAGTAAACCGACCGATAAAATCAGGGAAATAAGTATCATAAAATGAATTAATTTTACAACTTGTTCCTCCTCTCTTCATAAAGCTTACAAGTCGTCATAATCAAAAGGGGCCATGAGAAATTATTGAACTATAATAAAGTTTTATCTGTGAATAATCGTCAGTCGAGATTGCGATCGAGTCAAGCATTTAACATAAGATGAAAAAAAAATTCATTGCATGCACCTAATTACTTTTTGTTTTTGACTTAGAGAGACCATGCACATAAGACATAAATAAAATAAAATATAAAACAACATCGAGCACAGAAATGAGACAGAAAGAGATGGAGAGTCGGCAATATAATTTTCAATATGCATGCAATCATATAACGTTAAGCAATTTGAGGGATGTGCAATTGTGCAAAAAAAAAATTGTTGAAGGCTTGGTATTGATGACAATGACGACCGAAAATGTTGCAATCCTAAACGAAGACGGTTTGGTTTTTGTCATGTTGCAATCCGTAGCACAATTGAGCAAGCACCATCATCATTAACATTGTATTATAGATGAGAATTATAGAATCTCACTTTGGTGTCCGAATATGGTAAATGCCAACCATCCAAGTGATGGGAAAATGAGAAAGACAGAGGGTCACATGTCAAAGACATCGATTGCCATTTCAGGCCATTGAACTAGTTTTAGTTGATTACTGCTTGAGCGTTTTAATAGTAAAAAAAATGTAATAAAAAATGCTTATAGCGTCACTTGTCTAAGTGCTCGTCATAATCATCATTTATAGTGAGTTTCATTTGTTGATATTTCGCATCTCACATACGTCTTACAGTTTGCTATGTCAATATAAATCTTTTGTTCTCTATAGACAAGATGTGCTATGATCGTTTATGTAGATTTTTTATGAGCATTTGAACAAATTTTTGTGAAAATAAATAATTTGTACAAATATTACAAATTGGTTGTGTAAGTAAACGACATTACAAATTTTTGGCTATTTCAATATTTGAACGAAATTTGTTTTTAAAGATTTTATGGATGTCAACTAATAATTTTGATTTAGACTCAAACATTTGTTTGACATTGTAAATGAAATAAAATGAATATTTAAATAATTAGAGAATTTCAAAGTAACGCCCGGGGTTCAATTCCTTATAATTCAAAATTATCACGTTTTAGTTTTGCAACCAGTTTTTTTTTTGATAAAACATTTTTGTCACAAAGCAGAATGTGGTTTGAAATTTTGTTTTTTAAGGCAACTTAGTTATTAAATCCTTAAAGGTACCGTCTCTAAGCACGAAGACCAAATTAACTCATCAGATGGCAGTTTTTAATTTAAATCCTATCTCAACTTCACCTGCGATCCAAGCAATAAATTATTACAAAGAATAGTTCACAACAAATTCTGCCTAAATAGAAAACAAGACAAAAGAATACATGTAAGCACTGTCAGGAGAATTTCATAGGTACATGAATGAATAGATGTAAGTATAAAGAGATGAAGTACAAACAAAAAATAAACATCGACATAATGAAACACACCCAAAAATTGAAAGGTTACTTAGGAGGATCAATGATGATGCACAACATTCTTCCCATTCTCCGAAATCAAAAATTGAAGATGAAAACAAAAAAAAAATTGAGAAGAGAATTGAAATAAAGTACAAAATTGATGCTTGGACTCGCATTATTTCATTTTGTATTTCAATTGTTACTTCACATATTTATTTATACCTTGGGATCATCATCTCTCTCAGGTAATTCACTTTTGCTATCGTCCCGTCCATCCATCCAACAATACTTCAATTTAAGACAATAATCATCATTTCAAGACATAACGATTTGATGCAAAATGAAATGAAAAAGAGAAAAAAAAAGAAGTTTTTCTTCTTTCTGGCTCTGCACTCTCTGAATTCGGTTCATTGGTTAAAGGCATTCGATATCTGCGCGCATAATAATCCCGCAAGATGATTTTTCATAATCCACATTATTAACAAGCGTAGATGAATCTCTTACGAAATATTATTTTCATATTCAATGTAATAGTCATTAATGCTCGAAGGAATATGAATATAAAATAAAAAAGCAGATCGCGCGGACTGCTATAAAATAAAATATATTCATATACACAACGAGTCCATTCGACAAACGATTGTGCATAATTTTTCACTTAATGTACGGGATGGAAATGATTAAATGTTAAATTGTACTTTATCATATCTCGTCTGAAAAAATACCTCCAACGAAAGAAGATAGATATAAAAATTTATATTTACAACCTTATCCACCTCATATCATGTGCAATTCACAAGTCGAGGCATGATTAAGAAGACGGTTGTAGGGAATAATTGTATTGAAGTAGTTGCATTTTTAAACTTAGAACGCATTTATGTCCTTCAATTGACCTGACTGTAGTCACGAACATTCATGCTCATCACGATGTGGAATTTGCTAGACAAGGAACATGTCGAGTAATGAATTATTTTTGGACTAAAAGAGATTAATGGCAAATTTGATTTATTCTTAGGTTCTTATATATTGAGTCATCGATAAACTTCAAAGAATTAGAATTGAGGATCTGCAACTCACTCTCTCTCTCTTTTTCAATCTCCAGCCAACATCCATAAATGTCCACATCATACCCATGTATGCTCAAAAATTGCGTAGGAAAATAAAGTACATAATAATTATTACATTGATAAGATACAATTGATATATCTCCAACCAATTGCACTTATGCTCGCGCGGTCAAAGAAGACACACAGAGGAGCACAGACAGAACGAGTGAGAGAAAAAGAGGCATGAAAAATATTGCAATTCATTCGAAATGAAATGGAAAATAAGCATTCAATGCGCTGCCGATTGAATGTTTCGAATGAAAAACAAAAAAAAATGTAAGTAGAAATAACATCGCGGATAAAATCACAATGAAAAACCTTCACTTTCACCTCACCTGCAAGTTGTCGATTATGTATGGACGATTATAATTTTTGTTTAATGCTATTTTGCCTTACTACACAAAAAAAAATAAATAAATAAAATAAATAAATAGCATCGATAGTCTTTGGGAATGTGTGAGTGAGATGGAGATATAGTCACATAGTTATATGCCCTTAATAGCTTCTCTCGATCTCACGTATGTATGCAATGTTATGAATAGATATCAAACACGAGCGGAAGAAAGAGAGACAATTTTTTGCATGCCGAGCTAATCAGCCAAACATTATTAAAGCATTGAAACTGAAATTGACTTGCGCTATTATGCTCACTCAATGGCCATTATCATCAGCAACCTACTGAGCTTTGACATCGTCGCTATTTTAGCCCTTCTATAATTGTTTCACATTATTATCCGCCATAGGTACCATAATAATGTTAATAATTTTTATAATCGAGTAGAGGAGTAAAAGAGATGGAGTTGAAGTTGTGGAAACAAATTTTCTTGGTTTAGACTAGGAAACGCTTTTTCGTTGTAGTCCCAATAGTTCTAAAAGACCCTAGTCACTATTGTAGTTAAGCTCCCTAGTGAGTTCCGACTTAGACACTCAAACTTCTAAATCAGTGGTTCTCAAACTTTTTGTCAAGCAAAGCACTAATATTTTTGAAGATTTACATTGATTTATAGGCTATAGCTAGCTTATAAACCTAACTTAGTGTCACCCTTATTATTTTTATTAATTTTTTTTGTTTTAATTGGTCTTTTTAAAAAAAATTTTTGACCGAAACTCAAATTTTCAAAGCTTAAATCATGTCATATCACTAATCATATCTCAGTATAAAATTTGATTTAAAACAGTGTTGCATTCTGGCTATTTGTCTGGATCAGATAAATTCTGAGATAGAAATTACTTCATAAAGATCGATTCTACATCAAGATAGAAAATCTAATCTACACAAAGATTATTTCTATATAAAGAATCTGTCTACATAAAGATTCGATGTAGATGTCTACAATTCTACATTCTTCTCTGATGTAGACCTGAAAAAAATGTAGAATTGTAGACATCTACATCGAATCTTTATGTAGACAGAATCTTCATGTAGAAATAATCTTTGTGTAGATTAGATTTTCTATCTTCATATAGAATCGATCTTTATGAAGAAAGTTTCTTAGCTAGACAAAAACTATTGAAGAATCTACATTCTTCATCTAGTGTAGACATCTACATTTGCAACACTGATTTAAAACCGACGAGGTTAATATCAAAAAATCTACATTTTTGTTCCGACATATTTCATGCATTCAAATAAAGGATTACTATTATTATATATTAGTGTCACCCAGAATGAAACAAAATACAGTTGATACAGCAGATAGTCAAAATGTCACAAAAGTAACCCAATAACGTCCCCAAGTCCACAAAAAACTGCATCCAAAGAAGAAAAAAAACTTTCAATTACTTTAAAATATTTTAAAGACATTAGAAATGAATGAGAATAATAATTCTCTTAAAAGCAAAATTGAAAAGCTGGAATGTTGAAATTTTGTGCCTTCAATAATGCTGAAAACAAGCGCGCGAACGATGGAAGAAGAGGAATGAAGGAGAAAAAAAAGCAGCACTATAAACAAAATAAATGTATGCTTTGCAAAAGCATAAATCGAAAACAATAAAAATATTTAAAGAAAAAAGGAATTTACCTGTGGCATCAGTCTCTCGATTTCCACGACCTGATCGAACCTGTGCCTTACTCTCCGGTTGTAATTTGTCTCTTGTTGGTGGCGATTTACCAGCCTCATTGTAAACTGTAAATATTATGAGATTAAAACAGATGATTAAAAAATTATTTAATATATTTTGTGAGATTTATTTCGTTTTTTATTTTACGGATGAAGGTTGTTTGGTGTGATCAAAATCTGTGATTTTTGTGTTAAAAAAATTGGAACGTAAAAGTATATAAAGTCAAAAGTAATTGTTGAAACAGAATTTATCGAAATGAAGCGATCAAAAAGTCATTTGTCGATTGAATTATACGCCAAAGTCGCGCGCGGCAGAGTCAAAAACCTCTTTTTTAACCAATTGAGTTCATAACCAGACGGCTTGTTGATCATTGATGATTGGATTGTAAAATAATGAAATAATGGATAGAAAAATAGGTGTAGTGAGTCGCGCAAAAAAAATAGAATTTCATCACAATTCATAATTTTTTCAGCACCTTTCGAGACAGCAAAGTAACGTTAAACTTAAAACAATTGAAGGCAACAACAACAAAAAAAAATTGAGATGAGATGAGATGTTGATGCCGAGAATGGAGTAGCACCTCTCTCTTTACATCCATACAAAAATGTGTGGGATATTCACACATATAATAATTATTATTTCCTTCATTCACATAACTTTTTTTTCCTTCTCTTGTCTTAAATAATAAAATTCGAAATAATATTATTATTCCATCAATAATAATTTAAATGAATGAAATAAAAAAAAAGAATGAATGAATGAATGGAAGTGAACGATTCAGCGAGTGAGCGAAGTAAGGAAAATATTTAAACAGTCTGGAATTCTGTGTAGATTATTTATTTACTATTTGACTAAAATTGCTGCCTTAAGTTTCATTGGGGGCTTTTATTTATGCACATTTTTGTGTCTCTATTTTATTTTAATATTTATTAATTCTTATTTCTCACAGTTACTGCAAAAAAATTATTATAATTGGAAAGGTTAACGTTTCATCGCTATTTTTTGTGCTAATAGCGCACTTTCCGTTGTTTTTATTCATTTAGAAAATTAAAAGAATGACGAATACTAGCAATTTAATTCTCAGATCTATGGATATTCCTTTAGAATTGGCAATCTTCCAGAAACTATTTTGTGCTCTTTTGGTGTGAAAATGCTTTTAAGATTCTCAATTAAAATTTACATTTTTTTAACCTTTAAATGAATAAAATCTAAGAATTACGATTGTATAAACAGATAAATCTAGAACCATATTACAAAGCTTTAAATTTTCCCACTTGATTTGCATATAGTTTTGTCACAGTGAGTAATCATGGGAACTTACTTTTCAGCTGTGATTTTCTTGACCTGGTTCTAAAAGTGTGAATAATTTTGATGTAAGTAGGTGCGTACTAAATTAAGTTCCAGAAGCTTACATGACATATGGTATTAGTTCACTTCTGATCTTTCTGTGAGCTAAAGATGAAGAATTTTAAATCTCCATGTTTGTGAACATATTTTGGAGAATTGAAAAAATGAATTTTTGAAGGATTAGAGACAGGAAATATGTTAAATCAGTCGCAGACTTACATTGTGAATTTGATTCTTAGCTTTTATGTAAAGTTTTGTGATGTAAATGTGTTTAATAATCTTTAAACTAAGATTATAGAAATATTTTTGCTAGTTTTTTAAATCGTCAAGAATATGAAAGTAAAAATCCAAAACTTCGTGACTGCAAAGATAGCAAAGATACTAAGGTTCTCGAAAATTATAATCTGAAGGAATCTTGACTTTCATGAAGTTTAAAATCTCACTTTTAAAGTCAAAAAGCACATCAAATCATTTTAGGACAATCAATCTCCAATCCCAATCACCTAATTAGGTTTTATTCCAATAAGAGTTCTGATTCATTTCCAAAATCACAATTGCTTCCTTGTCAAAACAGAGTTAGAATCAATTAAAAAATTCAAAGTCATTTCTAGCGAATTCCGGCTAAGTTTCATTACCATTCAACCCCCAAGACAATTCTTCATACTCGTACAACTTGATTTCATTACCTCGAAAAATAATTTAAAGTCATTCTTCATTATTTTTCATACATTCACAAAATAAGTCTATGTCATAATCACATGTGACATAAGGACAAGTTTTACACCTTCTCAAGCATAGAGCACGGAAAGTTATAATGACATTGGAATAAGAAATCTGTGTACTTACATGTATGACTTTGTCAAAACTCCATTACCCTTCCTTTACAATTGTTATTAACTGTATTAATTGTCTCTCCGGCTTGCCATTGCCGTATTATGTATTATATATGTTTATGAAATAACTTTGCATATTATTTTCTTTCCACAAACAACAATAGGCAAGCATACATTAGAAGTTTAACTTCGCATTTTGACTTCATAATTAGGTGAGTATGAAGAAAAATGTTTTTACTATGAACGTGTTGTATTGTTTTGAATTAATTCATATAGATGATTGTTGCTATTAAAGAATATATGCATACATTGAACAACAAGCCCGCATATAAAGCCTACAAGATCTTGTAGTTTATGACTTTATATCTTCGAGTCAAAAATCAATTAAATTATAATTCATCAAAAGAGTCGAGGAAAATAAAAGAGTCGAGTCGAGAACAGCTCCTTCCGTTCGTCGAGTATGCAAGCAAACAAAAAAATCATATGAAATATGTAAATTGGAGGTTATAAAATGTCAGGGACACAATGCACATATGTAGATACATATTTAAGTATGCAAACATTCAAATTTAATTACTTGCTCACTGAACTACACTTGATGCCCTCACACAATATATCTATCGATCTATCTATTTATACATTCGAATGAATTAAAATGTTATTTAGAAGTGGATAGAAGTAAGTAATAATAAATTTATTATATAATTACAAATATCCGGCAGTGTCATTCAAAAGTCCCACACACAATTCCCTTCTGATTCAAATTGTGATTGAAAAATGCTATTCAGTTTGCGAACTCACACATATTGGTATGTATGAGGTAAGCGTTAAAATGTAACGGCTCTAGACTAGACTGATCAATCAACGAAATAAATCTAGCAACAATAACAACAATAATAAGCAAGTTAAATGTACTTACATTTCTGATTTTGACCTTTAAGAAAGGTATTTCGCTTATGGTGTCGCACTTTTGATTTGACAAATTGTACGAGTATGTTGTACCACCACTTTGATTCCTCCTGACACGTGCCTTTGACAAATGTTGATAAGTCGGGTGTTTGAATTAGAATTGAGTGACAGTGTCCCGTGATTTGTTCGGCATCAGCGACCTCAATTACGTCCGACATGTTAATACTTGCTTGTGGTACAGTTTCAAGCTAATGGCAATCATGGATTGTTGATGATAATCGGGCAGAAGAAAGAAACGAAGAAAGTTATTAAAATGATTGATTTTCGTACAAACAAAAAACATGACTTTTTATTCATCGATTCCTCAATTCCTCTTTTGCGAGCATGTAGTCGAATTTTTTTTTTTTTTCATTTAATGAATTCGAATAAGCGCGAAAAGAACCGAAGAAAAAAGATCAAATTATATTGTTGTGAAATAGTAAGCAACTTACATGATCATCCACAGAATATGTGAGTTCACCATCATCGAATAGAATAAACCATCTCCTTTGCCACCGCTGGAAGTAAATCAAAGAGAGAAAAAAATTTAATTAAAATCCCATTCATTCTTAAAAGATGAACTCTTATTATTTTTCAATGGAGATTTAACTGTAAATTCCCTCGGACTATCACTATCTATCCATCCGTCCATCTATCTATATATCTTGCTAGTTAGCTACAACTTTTCTTGGTGCAGTTTTTGTTGGAAGATGATTGAGTATAGCCATGTTATTTTGGCATATTGGCTTAAAATTTAAAATTTATTTGAGAATTGATTGGAAATAATACCTTTGTAAAAACCTTTACTATAACATTAATGTGACTGTATAGGTCTATAGTATGCTCTTATATTCTCAGTCTATAACTTTGATCTGAGCATTAAAACCCTTTATTTACTGTGTGTGACGCTGAAAAGTCTGCTTCAGATTAATAAATATCTGCTACAAATTGAGTGCAGCCTAAGTGAGATATGATTTCAGATATTCAGACTCAATAGACAACGAATTAACTCAACATAAAGCCAATTATCTTTGAAGTCATTTAAAATCCTTAAAAAAATGCGCCTTAACGACCAAAATTCAATTATAATTCTTGAAACAAAGTTTTCATACGTAAAATGTACAAACATATTTTTGCTCTTTAAAGATCTTTGTCTAATGATCTATCCACTCATTCAGTATTCAGCAAGATTGCTGTAGATGAATTGTTGATCTCCCGTTTTGATTGCAAAGAATTTTTACTACATCATTGTTGAAAGAAAAGTCTTTAAGTAACTTATTGCTTACCTACTAAGCATACTGATGTGTATGATTTAAAAATATAGATAGAAAGCTTCTCTTAATTAAGGCTACATAGAAGTTGAACTGGAGAGAATTTTTGATTCTTAGCCAATAACACAGATAATCGATTGTTGAAAGAAATAAACACAACATATGAAGCGAAATTCGACCTTATTTTAATTTCGGTTTATATATTTCTTGTAAGCGCACTTACCTTGGTTAAAAATAGCATTTATAAATCACTATGACGGTTACTTGATAGGTATTAATTGATATTTTTTTCTTTTTTAATTTTTGATTTATTAGGAAAACGATGATTATTAATGTGTAGGTGTAATCCATAAATTTATTCGCTTGCTTTGAAATTCGATGATTTTTTTTATGTAAATCTTCACTCTTTTCGTCGAGAACTTTTTTGTACTTCATGTTTTTGTTTTATACATTTGGACTTGTAAGTAATTTTTTTGTTCTCATCTGTAACATGTTGTTTTAGGGGACCATATGATTATGCTGTCTGCTTATGGCTCGTTAATTTAAGATAGGAACTCTAGCTTTGCTTTACTAAGTCAACAAATCAATTTCAATTTATTTAAGAACGTTTGCTGCAATTTAAAATTTTTGTTACAAGCTTGATACGAAAAAATTGAGTGAAAAATCCATAAATCTTTATAAACGTCATTTATGATCGACCCTTTATGCTAATTTTTCAATTATTTTTCATTCGACTGTTCATGTACTTCAGTTAAAAAGATCAGATAATCAAGAAGAATAAAAATCGAATCGAAATTCAATATTAAGAACAGACAAAGAATATGAAGTTACAAATTACTACCTTACTGATCGATATTAATACATTCGATATCTTGACATTAAACGTAGAATATTGAGACTCTTGATATTTTCATGGAAATTGTGTAATCGAATTTCTTCGCAATTATCAGATGAGAGGAATGTTCTCTTGATGTGAATCATGATTCCGGGAGAAAATAATGAATGTGATGTAATATCTGCGGTAAATTTCGTCTTTAATGTGGGAAAGTATTAAAATTTCATTTAAACTGTTAATTTAAGACATCCATTCGCACCTGGGAAAAAAGATTCGTGAGGCAAAATTGGTAGTTTACGAAAAAAAAGAGCTATGGAAATGAGAATAGAAAAATGATGAGATTGATAGAGAAAAGAATAATTTCTATTCTGTATAGATCATAGACACACAAAAGGTTATTGGTTCTTAGCAGCTATTATTGTAGATTAAATGTTATTTTTCCTCGAATCATGCAAATCGCATTGCAGAACTTGATGTTATTCTAATGATCTTTTGAGATTCTCATTTGTGGAACAATAGGTATTCAAAAATGTTGATGAGGAATTCTAATGTTTAATAAAATTTGATGAGGTTTTACAGTTGGAAAGAGTTGGTGATATTGACAAACAGAATTAATAATTCCAAAAGGGGTGTGATTAGGTGACATTTAGTTACTAGGATTAGGGACAATTGAGACATAGTTACATGAAAACTTATTTCAACCTCAAGTAAGTCACATGCATCAAGCAAGGCTCTTTACGGCTTAGGAAATCTTTTATCAAAGTTGACAAATATAAACTCATGTGTAATCAGCAAAAATTACAAATTTCTAATGACATGGCAAATTATTATGAAATTCTGTAGAACCTTCAATTAATCTTTAGTTCCAATAAATTTCATTACCAATAAATTCAAGTGCATTTGCCTTACAATTCATTTATCAACAATGGAAAATCCAAACATTTCCAAATCATTATCACGACTTAATTATTCTTATCAAGAAATTCCCAATAAAAATAATGCGCGACAATTTGCTTCACAATCATTTCAACTCGCTTGATTGCATAACTTTCTTTCTCTTACTTAATATAATATTATTATTTTTTTAATGAGAATAGCGGGTGCCATTTATTCCTGTTTTATTGAGAAAAGCCGATCAAATCTCATGCAACCTTTCATGATGCTAGATTTATAGTCAGAAGGTAGATCAAAAGAATATTTTGATAACACCTAATTAACATTTTTTTAAAGCTTCTCAGGTAAAATATCTGCGTTTATTTAATCAACTCGAGCAGACAAAAAATTATTTAAAAAGAAATTAGAAATTTAAAACGTGAAACAAAAAGTGCCTTTATTTCGGTAAGCTGTTTTTCGGGGCGAAAGTTACGCAAAACAGTATAAAATCAACTTTGTTTCCCCGCCGGCCAAAAACCTATTCATTTATTTTAAGTAATATATTTTCTAAAAAAAAAAAGTATATGTATGGATAAAATATAAAATCGACATTTGATTTCTAACGCCAAAATCGCACTAAATCGCGCGAGCACGCGGCACAATACAAAAAAAGAAGTAAAAGAAAATATGAAAGTTTCATAATTATTATTTTCGTCGTTTATTATTGTTGCTGTTGTCCATTTTAATAGATATATCTATCTGTCTATCAATAATAATATACATACGTACATACTGGCATGCATGCATGAGAGTTTTTAAACTAAAAGACCATATGTGTGTGATTTGCATACATGAAATACTCAGCCATTCACAAATGTAAATAGCCTGCTGAAATAGCATGAAAATTTGTCGCATTACATCGCTGCTGTTAGCGACTGTCTTTTATATTTTTTTTTTTTTTTTGTTGATGAAAAATCAAACAAGCAGAAATGGAGGAAAAGTTACATGATTGTTGTTCAGGTATGGCGCATCTCTTGTGATGTGATCGGTGCACTTAGAATTTAATATGATTATGAAATAAAGCAAGTCATATGGAACAGCAGATATATAATCAATATTAACTTTGCATCACTGAACATTTGACTTTAATTTATAAAATATAAGATTAAACTATACAGCAATTCTAGCAATTTTTGGTGTATCTATTACAGAAGTTATCTAATTTACTCAATAAGCTCAATTCCTACTTAGTTTCTCAATATATTCGACTAGTATTTGAACTAATAACTTGAATTTACAATTTTTCATCTAAAAACAGAAATAAAATCTACCAGCTGCTTTATTTCAATATTGAGGGATGAATGAATTCAGCAATTGATAACATTGCTAAAAATTCACACGGCAGTAGGTATGAAGTATAATTATATGTACTATTTTCAAATCCCGCTGATCTTACTCCCAATCAGCAGGTCTAGTCTTTCTATTACTTTGTTTCATAATTTCAGCTGTTTAGCTAAGTTTAGAAAAGTTGTAGACCCGAGCAATAGGCTAGAGAGGAATGACTGATCACACAGAAAAGGACTGGGATTGTCGATTTTACAATCTCTAATATTTTTAACTATCCTAAGCTAAACAACATTATATTCATATGTTCTCAGTACTAGTCCACAATGTGCGCACTCCATGACTCATTGTTAAGTGATAATAATCAAAATAATACGATTTTTGGACCCCTAATCATCTGGTTTGTAACATAATAAAATTTCTGAGGAACAATCCAACATTGTGTACATAATAAAAGCCTTCAAAAATCACCATAATAGCCACCCGGTCATAACAAGCATTACGCCGCATTGCTCCTTAGGAGAATTTGCTTCTCTCGCTCGTTATTATTTTTATTACAAAAGAGATGCAAATTTCGATACAATTTATTTTTTTTGTGTACGTTTTGTTTATTCATACATAATCGTAAGATCAACAAACAAAAATTGTTGCAAAACATCAGGAGGAGAAATGAGAAATGAAAATGAAAAGACTTGGCTCAATATGCAAATACATTAAAATTCGCCACATTATTATTCAATAATCTTATGCCATTTGGGCAAAAGCAATCAATTTCAATTGAGACTTGCACATAATAATGGACAACCTCTTTTGATTCATTTCAAATCAGAACTGGAGAAATGAAATGAATAAATATTGTTACATCAAGGAAAGCAGAAACAAAAAATGCAAAGCTTTGGCAGGCTTGAAAACCGTCTCTTTTGTTAAAGCATGAATAATAACAATATAAAAAAATGAGAAGGCATGTAAGCGCGCAAGCAAACCATAAGCAAATGTGAGACGTGGGTCATTGGACTATCAAAAAAAATGTACGTCAAGAAATTTTCATACATTTTGTTACCCACCAAAAAAAATTAAAACACGACGCTTTTAACATTAGATGTGCTGACGATGACTATTCATAATCCAGCAACAACAACAAAAAAAAAGGTTTTAATAGTGTGAATGCTCAAGTTGATGAAAGATTATGTAGTTA